GGTGTAATCATCCTCGTAGCGATTATTACCGTTGGGTATCTATTCAACGACATCAACAACTTCTATGATGATGCTATGGGAGAATTGGACGAGTTCAAGGTTGGTTATCTTGCAGTAATAGTTACCTAATGACCTACAAGACCACAACCCAATGTAATTCCAGGTCACTGCCAACGCTGCATGGAAAGATATGACCGAAACGACCCGTGCAGAATCGGTTCGCGAAGTCCGCGACGTCCTCATTCGGGTGAAAAAACAAGCAGGTGGCTCGTGCAACTGTGCTGCAGGACCGAACGACTGTCCTCCAGGACCACCAGGACCACCGGGAGAGAGTGGAGCCCCAGGTGAGGATGGCCCTCCAGGAGAGAATGGAAGAGACGGAAACCCCGGCACAGGAACGTCAACAGGAGGCACAAATGGATGTGTGCAATGTCCAGTAGGACCACCTGGACCGCCAGGACCCGATGGCAAGCAGGACCCGCAGGACCAGACGGACAGCCCGGTCAGCCTGGTGCACCTGGAAGCGGCAGTGGTCCACCAGGACCACCTGGACCACCTGGAGACGCAGGACAGCCAGGACAAGATGGCGCTCCCAGGAGAGCCTGGTGCTCCAGGTCAGAATGGACAAAGAGGAAGCTCAAACCCAGGAGTAGCAGGTCCACCAGGGCCACCCGGTCTGCCTGGGCAACCAGGACCGGATGGACAGTCAGCTCAGCCTGGCCAGCCAGGACTGCCAGGACCCCCAGGACCAGCTGGTAACAACGGTCAACCTGGTGCCGATGGTATCCCTGGTGCTCCAGGACCAGATGGAGACACCGGAGGCGATGCCGAGTACTGCCCATGCCCACCACGTAACAGTAATGCTCCCGTGAATAGGGAAGGTGAGACCCAAGACGGATATGACAGTGTTCCAAGCGGTAATGGAAATGAGCCAGGAGGTCCAGGAGGACCTGGCATACTGCCACCTGGCAGTAATGTCCCCGAAGGATTCGAACTTGTCGAGGTGGATGATTCAAACAGCGATGAGCATGACGCATCTATGGATGTGAAAGGTAATGATGGCCCTTCTGGATACAGCATCCGTCGTGGTGTCTCCAAACGTTTGAAGAAGATTCGAGTCTCCAAGGCAGCGGCGTAAAATTGCCATTATAATTTGCATTGCTTATCTGTACATTTTTGCGATGGAACCACAATAAATATTGAAATTTGATCACGTCTTCGGAATCGCAAGAAAAAGTGATAACATATGGTTGGTGATGATGCCTTGAAACGTGTTTTGCGATGCTCGCACTTTTGTTCTCATTGCTTAGCCCGATCACCACCCACGGCACGCAAGCGCCACGTTTTCTCTGATCAAACACTGTTCGGAAAACTCTTGAGTGCATTTTCGAGTGCTTCTGATGACACACTGGTAACTGCCCGGCGGATTAGGGTAGACGGAATCACGGAGAAAAGAAAACATTTTATTGGCATCCGTTTAGGGTCCTGAATAATCAATGACGCAGGTTCGTTTTGAAAAAGGGGGGACCGGATAGGGCCTGGGAGTTTTGCGAATTTCCGCAGAAAGCAGAAGTAAGCCTGCACAATGGTAACGAGGAATACTTGGAGTGAATCACCTTAAGTTAATTCCTGAGAGATGAGCAAGTAATGTAAACAGTATCATATTGCTCTGTGGGTCCGAAGTAAATAAAGACCTGCTTCAAAATTAAATATCGTGCAAATTGAGAAGTGGATTCGAATTAGAAAAGCAGATATATGCCTCCCAAGGGGAGATGCGTAAGGCACAATGCGAGGGGAAGCGGTGTGTCTCCTGATCGAGGATGCAATAAGGATTTCTTGGAATAAAATTTGGTATATTTTAGAGATCAAGTGTGCTAAATAGAAAGCTGGTAGTGTAAGCTAGCATAAATCTGTCAGAGCTCGAAAGCTCACGTGGTTATTCGGTCGTTCAGACAGAATCTCATGAGAATGCATCGTTAAGAATGCGCCATGCACCTGTTCTCCGTCCAATTCGATTTAGCAACATTTTTGATGCACGATTGGGCCTTAGGCGGAGTTCTGGATTTGATCCGGTCACTTGCTATTAAATCCTCCATTCTCCGCTATCTTCGCCCCTATGATCGTACTTTTGCTAAAAAATGTCCACATGAAAAAAGACCAAAAAAATTAGAATGATCCAAAGAGAGAACAATCCAAAGCAACAAATATCCTCAGCAAACCCGATGAGCTGGTTATTAATATAGTAAACTTCAAAGGCACCGTGCACGGGAATCTTCTACACATTTCCCTTCTTCTTTCCTTTCATTTTGTTGTTGTGTGCGATCACAGAAGACCATCTGCAGAATTCTGAGCTAAAACAGTGTAACTTGGAAGAAAGAAAACAGATGGAAAATCATTTCCTGGATAGCTACCGGTAGAAAAGAGTGGAGCTAAAGGAGCTCATGAACACTTTTTAGTGCCTACCCGCCAACTTTTTCTGTGGACTACTTAACCTCGATCTTTAAGAAGTCTAAAGTGGCTTCCCCACCTCACTTTCACAATCCTGGTGCCTTCCATTCCTCCCTTTCGGTTTCTCTGCTTAGCAATTGTCTAAAGCTAACCTTAGTGGTCCTTGCGCTGTGGCCTGGCACTATCCTTGTGCTGTGTCACAAAGAAGAGAAATGGGAGTATTTGGAACTTTCGCTGGCAAGTTTTACGACGGAATTCAAATCACGTATGGTCTACCTGGCCATGCGGACTCATTATCAGCAACAATGCTAAGATCCTGTTCGTGAATGCCTCTTTATTATTGAATTTTGGTTCGCCTATTGTTTCGTAATAACTTCGTATAGCATTAGCCAATCAGGCTTTTTGACAAGCGGCTCCATTTTCTACTTTGCCAAAACAGCTCCTCAGAGACGATGCGAAGGATATCATCGTTCTCCGAGTTGGAGGCGCATTGGTGACATCGCAGGGGCGGTTAGATCCTAACCAATCAGATCTGCGATTAATTATCGTACTTACAGCGGTCGCAGGAAACCCTTCGATAAATATTTTTTCTTGTAGCTTCCAGCTGTTTTCCTGAAAGTAACCAACTCAACTGAAATCTGAATGGAACAAATCAGTTTAAATTATTGGTAATTGATTTTTATGAAGTAGTCACTTTCAGCCGTTCCTGCTGGGGAAAAGTTTGCAATGAGGACGAAGCTTTATCACATGGGCTTGTTTGTTATCGGTTCAACGCCTGTAACCGATTGAAATGACATGATGTGGTAAAATAGGACAATGTGTAGTATTTATTTTACGTAGTTTCGTTGGTACAATTATTTTTCGGTCTTTTGAAAGCCGACCAGTTAGTATGTGACCCTGAAGGCACGGCATCGTAGCTGAATAGGTAGGGAAGCAGCGCTTGAAAATGAACATAGTTATGGTTATTGGTCCACCAGCATTAACAGAAAGCAAAAGTCTGCTGAGAACACTAAAATATACGCTTATCATATGTACGTTCGGGGTTTGCGCCTTGTTCCTATGGAAAGCTGTGGTTAGCCGTTTCTTTGATATGGTAAAACCGTAAGATACGACACTAGAGAGGGCAGCTACTCAATGAACATCAGGGACGGTAGTAAAGTGCCCTAGACTGGCAGTCAAATGTGGTGATTTACATCCATTGGCGAGGAGTAGAGAACGTGGAAACATGGACATGACCCTCGTTGAAACCGCGAGCCTCGCCACCCGACCTGCAAAACTTGCAACTCTCTCGGAATTGAGCCCTGGATGGTAGGGCTCATAGGCTGGTTTTTTGCCACTGCACCAGGGATCACTCGACCACAACACTGGAAGAGATGTTGATGAAAGGTATGCAATGGATGTTGCTTGCAAGTCTTAGTCTCCAAGCGGTGCTGATCCAGCAAGCTTGCCAGCGGCAGCGTGGAACGTCCCCATTGATCCAATGGCGGTTTGCCATAGGCGAAGTGGTGAGCATCCACCACGTTGCTTGCAAAAGTCGCGTCACACACGGGTTTGAACCTTCGGTGCATCGTCCCATGAGCGGCATCGCTACCACTGCACTATGGAGCCCTTCTTATTGACGGTGAAAGAATTCTAGAGGAAAGGCAATAACCCACAAAAGTTGCAAAGATTTTGACATCTAGTAGTATCGATCCCGTGGCCGGCTCAACACAAACGTGGACCGCAGGCGCTACACCATTGACGGATCAATGCAAGTTGCTTCCCTTTCCCTTTTCAACTTACTGCGTTGACCCACACAGCCTGGCTGTTTGGAGATGGCCATCTCTAAAAAGTCCTCCGGAGGACTTTTTAGAGATGAAGTGGCAGCATGTTTGCGCCCTCCACCGCGCGCGCACTATTTCCTTTTCCTCTGCCGCCATCGCTGTTAGTTTATAAATGACCACCCTGCTAATCCTCTTACTAGCACGTGATGTCATCACCCCAACTTCCAAGTAAGTTCGAACTCACTTCGACCATTCCGACGGGGAATCTTCGGAGGGGTTCCAGAGGTGCTCTACGCATCTTTTAGGGAGACATGGATGGAAGCCATGACCAAGTTACCACGAGCTCATGGTCACATGGTAACTAGCAGTTGAGGCCACTTTACTACCGTCCCTGAACGCTTCGTGTACGTGGCCTTTCATCCCCCCTTTTCTTAGGGGAACGGGGTACGCCGGTCACTGGGCTTTTCCTACCCTACTTGGTTCGTTTTCGGCCAGTGAGTTGCAAAACTCTATGGTCATAGGCTGTCCCATTTTGAGCTCACTACTTGCAGATGTGTCTAGCCCCCGATAGCGGGGTGGCGGGGCTTGCTTTTCATCGATGTGGAGGAGACTTTGCACACCATTCTAGGTCATAATTACTGTGCCAGATCGGAGCGTTGCCGGTGAATTCACAAAAGATCCTGGAACGGCTTCAAAATCGATTTTATCTTCAATCATCGTAAATTCTTTTCAATAAGTCACTGTAGGGAAATTTGAAACTGGTTTGTTGTCCCACTTTGTTTTTGTTCCCCCGAATTTAACGATTATCCGCTCTTAGAGGGTTTCAAGCCTGCTGCATACTACAGGAAATTTTGTGCTTCTGGGTTGGGTGGGAGCTGCAACTCGTCAGCCGTTAATGGCACCTCAAAAGGAAAGACAGGGAGATAGGAAGTATAAAGAAGGAAAGATAATACATTGATCCAAAAAAATAAAACATTTCAAAACTGTTGATCTGAATGAACGGGACATAATGTGATTCGAGCCGCGCGCCTTGGTTGTCACGTTCTTGTGCCGTAGATCTACATATATGCTGCTGGTAGTTTTTTGGCTGCGATTTAGACATTGCTTGCGAATATTTTGGTTCCGTTCATTCGAGGAAATCAATCGATTATCGATTTAGGCTGCTCGATATTGCAACGATCAAGAAAAAGTGTTGGCATTGACCGAATCCGTATGACGATCAGACTTTCTACGCTGGTTATATTCAAGGTGTTCTATCGGCAGTTCAGCCACACAAAGTGAGTAACAACTGGCTTTTTTGGAACAGCACTGTTGAAAATGGCTGGATCTGGGAGGATCTGTCCTCAAAAGTCGCGCATGGCCCATGACTGACTTCTGGAAATACTATCCACTATTTTATTTGAGATATATACAGAATGACTATGCAGGTTTAGGACAACGAGTGACGGGTGTGTGGACTTCTGTACGCTCGGTGCCGAACGGTTCCGAGGCAGCATGGGTGTCGTTTCCGGGTTCCTATGTTTTGAACAAGCAATATTGGCAATTCGGAGAACCAAATATTTATCCGAATTACGATGGTGAGCACCAGCTTTTGTTTTTATGCACTATTTCAAGTCCTCGTCTTTTACGCATTGTAAGCGAATTATTGATTTTGCGCGCGTGTAATCGATATTTATGCTTCACCGCTTACTCTTCCTGATCATTTGAGGGTCTTTCTTTTCAGATGATTTGCGTATCGCTTCAGCAAGAGTCGATGTACCGAAACTGGATGTCGGAATCATGTGAAGCCTTCAACTATGTGGTCTGCAAAAGAAAAGCCGTCGATAAAGGTGAGCCTACAATTTTTCCGAGTAGGATTTCATTGTAAGATAGAAACGTCACGGTTTTTAACGAAAGGAAAGGGCAGTGTAGGAGCAGTAGTATTTTACATAGTTATTGATTAGATAGCACAAGTTTTTTTTTAATTATTGCTGAATCTAGAGGTGTATTTGAATTTGCTCTCTTACAGCTGATCCACAGTATGCCGTTAGCACAATGTCTTTGCCAACCGGATTTACGGTGGAATACGCTGCGAAAAAGTACACTGGAAGTAAGTTACACAAAAATGATCGTTAGGATAACACTTTTTGCAATATGTGACAATAGGGCGCACTGCAAAGCAGCAGGCGTCTTCTGGACGCTACGCGACCGCGCGCCTTCTTGTCACATTTTGCGCTGTCACTCAAACTGCTGTGCTGTGTCGCTCTAAAAAGCAAATTTGGATCTAAATCTTTTGAAGTGAGAGGTTCTAATCGATCAATTAAGATTCGCCAGCTCAGAACATCACGTGTGCTTCAACTCAATTCGAGTTCGCCTGCATGAATGCGTTGGCTCCATTCAGGTCGAATACGCTTCCTATGGTGCTTTTGTGAGTTCTTCAGATGTCCGTTTTTGAAATGATTTAATTAAATGGAGGTGTTAGTGCAAGTGGCAGGTGGGCGCCGCTTTACACCGAGGCGCTCGGTTGAATGCAAGCCAGATGCAGGGATTTGGAAACTTGTCACGGCTAATCTAACTAACATCCTTTAAACTTCGGTCGGTTCGGTGCCAACCGTCTGGAGGGCTGAAACCAACTTCTTGTACCTGCGACTGAAGCCCCGAAAATCATTGTGTAGGCCATTCCGCATTCAAAGGCCACTACGATTTTGGACGAAAGTGGAACGCGTGGCGCATCCCGGAAAGGGCTAGCCAAAATTGTTTCGTAGCTGTGAATTTTATTCAGAATGATTTCTAATTATGCTTATAGCTTCGTACCGCTGGTAGTCTTCTCAAATTGTAGCGCTTCATGGTGTTTTCATTAAAAAATAGTAATGCGCTACTAGGAGGCTTAGGTAGGGTCTGCGAATTCACTCATGTCGCCCCCACAAAGCGGCCACAAAACTACACTGCGTTTCATAAATATAGGTCCACCCTAAATTTTTGCTATTCAAACTCGCTGAGCATTTTCGGAAAATGCAGCTATCACCAATAAATTTCTCATAACGAAAGATTATGTTTTTCTGAAGAAATTCCCCCCTTAAGTAACCTAGATAACTTTTCCGGATCGAATTTTCACAGTTTTATGATTGTAGGGCCACTCATGAAAAGTTCCCATTTCTCATCATCCGTGAAGAGAATCAGGAAAGTAGGCATATACACTTGCTAAGCCAACATCAAGTAACATCATACCGAGAATTTGCGGTGTTCTCTTCGTTAAGACAATTTCTCGACAAGTGATGTGTACTCATATAAAGAGGATATCTGAATAACTCTGAATCAGAATTTCTTCAGAAAATTAGTACCAGGGTTTTTTATCATGAGGAATCTAATGGTTATAGCAGGGTTTTCCGAAAATGCACAGCAATTCTGGAATAGCAAAATTTAGGGTGGACCTATATTTATGAAACGCATAGTGTATACCTAGGAGAAGGGACAGTCATGCAATTTTATGAAATGCGGTCAGGTGTTTTTGTTTGAACGAAAGAAAAACGAAAGAAAATGCGGATAAAATGCAAGAAAAAATAGGAAAAATTCGTTTGAGTGGATTTGGTCGCCTTGCGATACTGCGGCTGACTGTCATGTAAATCGCCAACAATTTGCTTAAGTTGAAGGATTTTCCGTGTAGAATTGCGTACAAATTTGGCACCTAAAAAAAAACATTTTTCCCTAAAGTTTGTCATTTTAGTTTCTTCGCTAGTCAGCAATAAAGCATATTTTCATTTTATATCACTTTTTTCTTCTTTTCATGCGGTAGGCGCTTTTTCAGGAGGGTACGTTTGCCTCAGGCAACATGCTCACTTACACAAACATGCAGCAATCCAAACTCTCTGAAGACCATAACTAATAGGTAGGTTTTAATCTCTGCTGAAGCGTCGAATTGAGAAGTATAAGTTCTTTGGATTCAGATGCGCAGGACTTTCGTACTGTACAATTCTGAGCCTGAAGGAGCTGTTTCCGGAGAGACTCGGCTGTCCTGTCGTGGACGAGCTGTTTCTGCAGTATAGCTTCTCTTGCTCTGAGGGTGAGCTATTCTATTGATTCTATTGATTTAGGGCCAACTACTGGTTATCCCATTGGTTTCCAAAGCACTGCGCCGGCACAAGGGTTATTATGATTGGGCGAAAAAAACCGATTAGGGAAGCGTTCAGACGTGTGTTGACAATAAGTGTGGTTGTGATTACGGCGATTAGGCGGATAACTCTAGAAGAAAAAGTATACGCATACGATTAGGTGGACGGCGCGGGTGAGCGCGAGTAGAATGAGTAGACGATTGGGGATATGTATGATCTGTTTGCCTCACGCCCTCGGGCATGCGATCCGCTTTGGGTCGCCTTCAGTCGCCTACTCGTCTAATCGCCCATCGCCTTATACGAGTACGATCGCCAACTCTGAACTCTCCATAACATGTCTCTCTTTCATTTGGTGCGCGTCACGTGGCACAAACAACATTAATGCGGTTTTCAACCCTTTCTTCGCCAGGTCTCCCTTCGGTTGAAGTTCCTATGTTACCGAGCTGGTCGGGTTTTTTTTTTTGAAACTAGAGTGGGTGAAAAGGCATGTGCTCCTATCAAACACGTGGTCGGTGAGATCAACCCAATCTGATGCCACAGCTTAGACCAACTGTGCCGCTTACGCTTCTTCTAGATTTAGTACACATCGAAGAGGTCACAAAAACGCCTAACAGAAAACATTCTAACTCCCGAACTATGGTGCTTGCGCTAGATACACATTGAAGCCGATTACTGACGATTTTCACCTGTTCGTCAAGCTTCATGGCGCATACAAAAGGTTTGACGCCTGCCAACTTTGGTTTTTTCTTCTTGTTGAAGCGCAGTTATGCCCGAAATTGAGAATTATCCAATATGTGTTGTTTGCAGGCTAAGACCTCCTTTCCGAACATCATTTCAGGTCTGCAGACAAAAGTGCGCATCTGGGTCTTTCTACATAACTGGCCGTTGTCTTGCTGTAAACAACAAACAAAAACTTCTACCATTCGCCGGTGCAAAAGAGGATTGTCGACGTCAGGTATCCAAGTTTTAGTTTGATTGACCCCTAAAGGCAGTGATCACGATGGCTGGAGGGTGATGTGGTTTGATGGGGTTATTGGTGGATTTGAACCCCGCAGGGCGCTGGAAACCTGGTTGGGATTGCCTTTCTACGCCCTTCCACCAATGATGTTCAAGGACGTCATGAGAACCTCACCACCCTCCAGCCATCGTAATCGCTGCCTTTAATTTCATGTCAGAGATACCGGAAATCGGAGAGTTTCCGGCCGATGTCAGACTTTCGATCGAAGCGATTCGCTGGCGTTCGCGGTCGCGTCGCGGCCAGCGAGGCTTGAATCGCAGAAAGCTCTGACAATCTCTTTCGCCGGAACCATTACCTTTTGGTTTCTCAACTCCTCAAGACATGGGCCAGATTTTGATCTGAATTTGTCATGACTGGATTTGTGCTAGAAAATTTCGTACCCGGGGGTATATCCAAACCGTAGGAGCACGAAATATAGGCCAGGTTTGCGTAAAACGCGCTGACCCTTGGCGCCACAAGGTGCCTTACACTATCACGTCAATTTGGCGCTGGCATCCGTAGCGCAGGCTACAAGCTCACTCGTAACAAACCAATGTGATAAGTAAACAAATAGATAAATAAATAAATAAATAAATAAATAAATAAATAAATATTCATGTGTACGTGTCGAACTACCTCTAGCGACAAGTTGTCCAACAGAACTCACCGCGTCGTTCAAGGTGTTCTGGTGCCTTCTGGCACCGGCACTTGTGTTTTTGTTTATTGTTTTTATTTTTTATGGCGCGCTTAGCGCCAACATTACCCGGGGATAACTTCTCGCTTAAATTCCAGGTATATGACAATCCCTCGCATTAGACTTTTGGCTCAGTTTTCGCGGAGTAGGATAAACCAGTGTCTCTATAGTGATTGAGAGAGGAAAGCGTTCAATTTCTTGGCAGACTTCCACTTTCCGGACTTCAACTCGCTACGAATTCATCTCTTGACCTTTGATTGGCCGTAATTCTCGGTGAAAGACGTCGTTAACACGTTGACGACAACGCGCGTTTTGGGTTTTTGCACCGCGTGGGACCACGGCGATTTTGCAGGCGCCGCCGCCTCACATCAAATCCGTGAATTTTGAGCTTTAAATACCCAAAACTCCGATGCAGCAAAATGTTTAGAATGATATTCGATGTGTCAAACTTATCAGAAGGGACAGCTGTGAAAAATCGATCTAATTGACGTTTTCTGGCGATGAAAGGCAAGTTTCAGTTG